CCCTGGGGATAAGAGGTGTTTCCCCATCCCCAGACAGATATTTGCTACTGTAAATCCCATCTCCATCCCTTCCTATAGTTTCCCACTACTGCCAGTCTTTTTCTTATATTATTACATTGGATGTTCAAGGTCCATAATATGAGTGAGAACATATGATACTCAGATCTTTGATTCTGGGAGAGGTCACTCAGTATTATAGACTCTAGTTCCATCCAGCTTGCTGTGAAATTGATGATTTTGTTCTTTTTTATGACTGTGTAGTATTCCATCGTGTATATGTACCACATTTTTTAAATCCAGTCCTCTTTTGATGGGCAGCATGGTTGCTTCCAGGTTCTTGCTATTGTGAACAATGCTGCGATAAACATACATTTGCAAGTATCTTTTTTTAGAGTGATTTAAGTTCTTCAGGATATATTCCCAGGAGAGGGATTGCTGGGTCATATGGGAAGTTGATATTTAGATCTTTTAGGAATCACCACACTGCTTACCACAGAGAGTGCACTAGTTTACACTCCCACCAACAGTGTAGAAGTGTTCCCTTTTCACCACACCTTCTCCAGCAGCTGTTATTTTTTGAGTTGTTGATAATTGCCATTCTGACTGGAGTTAGGTGGTATCTCAGTGTGGTTTTGATTTGCATCTCCCTGATGATTAGTGAGGTTGAGCATTTCTTCATGTGTTTGTGGGCAGCTCGGATGTCTTCTTTTGTGAAGTGTCTGTTCATATCTTTTGCCCATTTTATGATGCGGTTGTTTGTTTTTTTCTTTTCAGCACATTTGAGTTCCTTGTAGATCCAGGATGTTAAGCCTTTGTAAGACCTGGAGTTGGAAAATACTTTTTCTCAGTCTGTAGGCTGTCTCCCTGCTCTCCTGATGGTTTCTTTGGCTTTGCAGAAGCCTGTCAGTTTAATAAGGTCCCACTTGTCTATCTTCTCTCTTATGACCTGTGGGTTTCGGGTTTTGTTCAGGAATTGGATGCCAGTTCCGATTTCCATGAGGGCATTTCCTTCATTTTCTAAGGTTCTTATGGTTTGAGGTTTTACATTTAGGTCTCTCATCCATTTGGAGTTAACCTTTGTGCATGGGGTAAATCAGTCTTTAGTCTTGCAATTTCCTGCTGTTCATATTCCTGAAGGCTGGGGAGTTGGGGAGTTGTGTCAGGACTTGTACTATGCTGTAAAGCCAAGATTGATCAACTTCTTTCCTGAAAAATGTTATCTCCATGTGTTCCTGCTGATGTCATTGTTTCTTCATAAATCTTCAAGGCCTACCTCCTTACCTTACCAGTTGCTGAATCAGAGAGAGAAGAAAGGGTGGGGAGGATCAGAAGAAAATCCATAGACAGAAAGCATGCAACAAACGATATACGGTTATATACTACAATACTACAAGGTTAATTTTATACAGTGTTATATTGTATGTGAGGGTCTGTGTATGTGAGGGTTGAGCCTCCTACCCCACAGTAGTGATTCCTTACTGTCTCAATACCAATCAAAATTCTATGTGTAATTTTTATAAACTTGTCATTATTTTAGAAATTATATGGAAGGGTAAAGGCATATCAATAAATACATTTTGAAAAAAAGAGAAAAATTGGCTATCCTCCTGTAGAAATTAAAACAGGATGGAACTTGAACAGTAGCAGTAAAACAGACACTGAAAAGATTAACTAGTACTATGACAATATATTGTATAGACATTTACATTTATATTTATATGTGGACTTGATATATAATGATATAGATGGCACTACAATTAATATGGAAAGGATGGGTTGGAAAGGTTAGGAAAATTAGCTCTTCATGTGGAATAAAATTAAAAATTGATTCCTGTCTTTCATCCTATAATATGACATACCATGGTCTTAATCATGTTTTAAGGGACTGTTGTATGTCATGGTGGGTGGGGTAAAGTTTGAAGCAAAAGACTACTTAGGCAGCTGTTGTGGCATATGCTTACCAATGGTACATTGGATTAGAGTGGTATCAAAGAAGGTGGAAGTACACAGATTTTGAGTTGTTCTCTTGAGCTCTGAACTCATATTCAAATACCTAGGCATCTCTGTCTCCATTCCTATAGACCATGTAGACAAATGTGTCAAACACTGAACTTATTTTCTCTGCACAAATCTACTCTTCTGTATGTATCATTGAGTATCTCTGCTAGAGACCTAGCAGGCATCCATTAATAACTTTGATATTGGCTCACCATTGATACTAGCTTAATTTGGACTGTTTTTATGTTGTATTTATTGTAGCAGCAATCTGCTTACTTAACTGTCAACCTTCAACTGAAATTTGTACCCTCAGCCAGAGTGCAATTAGTTGAAACAAAACATAAAATTTGGACTTGATCATACCTAGACTTTGTCTTTTTCTACTGTTTTTATTTACAGGCCTTATTTCTTAGTGTTGTATATGATTATGATTTATTAAGATATTTAATGGATCTTGCTATTTTAGTCGGAATGTGGAACAGGGACTTCGAGGGACTCGCACTGGACATTATAATACAATTAGCCGAATGGATAGACATCGTGTCATGGATGACCATTACTCTCCAGACAGAGACAGGTAAATATGATTAAATACTATTAGACATTATTATAATCACTGTCTTCAGAAAGGGGTTACCATAAAATGTTTTCATCTATTCCTTTATAGTAGTTTCTAAAATATTTTTTTCTTACAGTGCTTATATTCTTTCTTATAACTGCCATATTGTTTAAAACACACACACACACACACACACACACACACACACACACACGCAAGCAACTTTTCCTTTGGTAAGAAAAAAAATGGCTCTTACCATTTTTGTCCTTTGTTAAATCAAACTAGTTATGTTAGTGAATCTGTACGAGAGATAATAATGTTAATTATTATGAAAACACAATGTTTTTATTGTTTATATCTTGTCATGGCCAGTTATTATATGTAAAAATATTTTCATGAGACAATAGATTTTAAAGTTTTTCATGGTTATCAGAGAAATCAGTGTGACTTTTCACATATAGAAGTATTGAGACAGAGTCTGGTTTGTTTAGAAAATATTTTTATCATGATTCATGAAGAGGTTTTTCCTCATGGCTTTCAGTAAACCTTTTAAGCATCTTAAAGAATCATGCTTGTTGATTACTGTATTTGGAAGAACTCTGAATTTGCTCCATTAAATGTGACCAACTTGGAAGTAACATGGTATGTTACAATGCTTACATTAATTACTACTAATATGTTGAAGTTAAGCAAATTGATTAACTCTCTAATTCATGCTTTGATTATATGTGAAGTAAATGCTATTATATTTTTCCAAACTATTCAAAGACTATGATAAAATAAAGAAGGAACTCAAAAGTCCCTTTGTATGCACCCTAAACCAATTTTAGGAATAACATTTGGGGACTTTAAAATCAACTGATCTGAGAAGTTACTGTCAATATTTATACATTTAAATTGTTTTGTCTAAATCTGGGAATATATTTAATTCGTATTATAATCATTGTGTTTTAGTGTACTTCTTCAAAAGAAAAGATGGCGGATATCTTAGTCTTCAGCAGTGTTAAGCAAGTATTGGCTTTAGTGTCTGCGATCTAGGAGAAATTAGGAAATTGTTAAATTAGTATGCCTATTAGTGTTAAGTGAAAGCTAGCATAGTAATTTCTTTTTAATTTCTTAATTTTTTATAGAGATTTGAGTTTTTAGGGTAATTATAGAAAAGCTACGTATAAGAAATTGAGCCTATCAAGTACAGGACTGTAATAGTAAAAGAAAGATAACTATGTTGGCATGATTAGGAGTTGGAGGGAATCATACTTGGGTGGGTCAATAGAGATTTCATTTAACAGAATTTTAATGAGCTTGATTGTTTCTGGAAATTATTATAGCAAGCCATAAACTCTTTGTTTCTTGAAGATTTGTTCATAGAAATGATGAAAGAGAAAAATCTGAGATGACTTTAAGCTTCCTTCAAACTTAAGTAAAGTTTCTTTTAATGAAAAATGGACTTTATATTTTCTCTAAGAAAAGTAAATATAGTCTAAATTTGTAGAAAAATAGAATAAAATTAACATCTAGAATTATACTCACAAACAAAAATGTTTGCTATCATATCAAATGCATAATATTTTATAAATATTTAGAAGCAAATGACCCTAGGTAATGGGAACAAAATTTATATTAAAACCTAGGTGACCAATACAGTCATATTAACTAATTAACATGTCAGAGATTTTCTGCAATATGCATTTTTATGTCTATCCCAATTTATGTCTACAATTGAAATTGAAGTGACATTATATTTTTTCACTTTAAACTTAACGAATCTTTTAGTTAAGCAAAAATTTCCAAAAAATTATTTCCAGAAACTTTGAAGAAAATTGAAACAGGTGGCTTTATTTCTGTTTTAGAGCACTGTAGACTGCTAGATCACAATTACTTCTAATTGTGAATTGTTTTTAATTCTTTTTTGAAAAGGTAAAATATAATTTAAACAGAAATATAAAACCATTTCTAATGTATTTTGGGTTATCTGTGTAATCATTATCCATTAACGCAGGGAATCAAAAATCAAAAGATACAATGTTATTTATGTATGTACACTATCACATTATTAAGCAGTGGGTTCTTAATTTCTGTCTTATTCTAATAGAATGTTGATAATAAAATGCATGTGAATGCATTATAATTTTTATGTACTTTTTAGAAGGTAAGAATACTCTAGAACTCTTACGGTGAATTTTTATGAGTAGCATTTTACAGAGTCAAGCAATAATACTGTTGATTAAAGACCCCAAGAGAGAATTTCCTTTGAAATAGTAAGGATAATTTAGGTATTTTGAGAGATACATTAATCTTTCTTGTCAGTAAGAATTGATGCACTGATTAGAGTAGTATTTTATTGAATGTACTCTTTTTCATAGGATTTGGAACCAAATGGCTTTGAGTTTGAATCTAGAATTTTACCTCATGCTACCTTCTTTGGGAAAATTAACCTCTTTGACAATTGATTTTCTTGTCTGTACAATTAGAATATTAGTACCAACTTTAAAGAGTTGTGGAGATTAAATGGTACAGTACCTCTAGTTGTGTAGTATGTATTCAAAGAATGTGCTTTAGCCTTAACATTTTAAAAGAATCTGTGGGCTTTGTAAATAATTTATATTTAATGTGGAGAGAGAGAGAGAGACAGAAAGAGAGAGAGAAATATTAGTGAGTTTTCAGGTTTTTTTCTTAAAATTTCATATAGAATGTAAAACATGAGTTAGACCTTGAAAAGTGGGCATGTTCATTCAGGCAAGAACAAGAGCACATACAGAGGCAGAATACACCTGTACATCATAAAGACCCGGTACAAAGAATGGAGGATTTGGGGACATGTTGGAAAGTTGTGTGTGAAGACAATGGCTTTTGCACTGACTGTATGGATAAGAAATGATGTTATTTGACATTAATTTATAGTACTCGGTTAAGCTGTGTAAGGAGGAGATAAAGTGTTTATATCCTTTTTGTAAGTAATTGTAGACAGAATTGTGTATAAACACCTTATTAGATCTTTGTTTCTCTGAATATCTTATTCTATTATAGTTAGTCAAAATTATAATCGGTTTTGAAATGTATGTAGATTCTTTACAGGAATTCAGAAACCTGATTGCAAGGACATTAGCTAAAATAATACATTATTAAGGACATCTTTTATTTTCTACTCCCTTTACCACTTTTTTGTACCACTGTTTTTCTGATAAATACTGGTAACTACTACAACTAGGAACATAATTTTTCCTGGGGCAGATAATGTGGCTTTAGTATTTAAAATCACTTTAAAAGTATTTTGTTTACTTGACTTAGCTTACTGTTAGAATAAGTGTAGAGTATTAAATACTATTTCTGTAACATGTCAGAGATTTCCTGCAGTGTGCATTTTTATGTCTATTCTAGACCCAAAATATGTTGGATGCATTTGTTTCCATGGAGTACTATTATATACTTTTAGCATTATAAGAAAAAAAGTAAAATTAACATTTGCAAAAGACTTCTGTAAACATTTTAATCCTGTGAATTCTATTAATAAATTTACATTCTAAAAAGGGAAACGCCCTATTATATGGACCTCTGGTATACACACTTCTTTCATTTCTTTATTCCTTGTCAGGCAGTCAGCTACCAGACAATAAAACACATATTCATAGCTATTTCATCAAAAAGAATAATCTTTGTGGTTCTTTCAACTATCAACTTTGAGGGAACACATCTCTGAAAGTTTAAAATCATAGAGAAAGTAAATGAAAAAAGAAGACACTACAAAAATAATATACCATCTTTGGTTTTTTGAAATATTTAAAGATAGTTGAATCATACCAAGTATAATGTAGGAACTACAAAGTACAATTTTAACAATATTCAAGACAGAGTAGAACGTTTTTGCATTAAGCAAGGGCTGTTGAAAATAACTTTCAAAAACTATAGGTTTACTTAAGGATGGAATATTTTATCTCCTCCTTTTGCACACCTTTTTGTGTGTCTAAGGGCTCCTATGAAGAGCTTAACATTCAACTAATTTAATATGTTGAAAGGATAATTCATATAAGTATCATTTTGTGCTGTCTTTAGATTCTTTACTGGAATCCTCAGAGGTTATATTGCTTAAGAATCAAAGTGTGTCTAGAAATTGTATTCATAATCTAGTTCAGTTCTTTGAATAGTAATATTTTTTATCATGATCCTTAGAATCTGGAACTTCTTTAATTAAATTGTTTTTACTTTTTAAAATTTAGTAAATGTACTCAGCCTGTAATCCCGCGCCTTTGGTAGGCTGAGGTGAGTGGATTGCCTGAGCCCGCGGGTTCGAGACCCGCCTGGGCAACTTGGCGAGACCTCATCTCTACAATCAATCAAAAAATTAGCCAGGCGTGGTAGTGGGCGCCTGTAGTTCCAGCTACTTGGAAGACTGAGGCGGAAGGATTCCCGCAGCCCAGCAGGCCGAGGCTGCGGTGGCTGGGAGCGGCTACTGCACTCCAGTCTGGGCGATAGAGTGAGACCCCAACTGAAAAAAATAAATAAAATAAAATAAAATAAAATTTAGTAAATGTATTAGTTTTTGGTTTTTGGGTTTTTTTTCCCTTTTACAGAGAATGACTGCTCTGCTCAAATTTTTTAAAAATCTCAAACAGATTGGAATAAATGCAATTTTAATATAACGAATCATATTTGTTTAACTCATTAGGCATATTTACTGCTCAGATTTAATAATGCCCATTAATATTGGAAGAAAAGTAAGCATGGTTCAATGGAGAAGTTAAAATGTTTTTAGATGTACCAAGTGGATGCAGCAAAAGACTTTGGATACATCTGTGGAGCTTAGGTGGATTTTAAAGGGCTTACTTAAACTGAATGGTACATTTTGTGTAATATTTATACCAGACTTTTCTTAGTTTTCAGCAGAATCTCAAGGGGAATCATGATCAGATAAAGTTAAGAACTAACATGACTAGAAATAAAAAATATAAAATAAATTGATACTTGATAAAGGTGGTTCTTGCTTAAAGTTTTCTTGGCTGTATAAGGGCAAAGTAAATTATGAATCTCTTCAAGGAAAATATTAGAAATTGGATGATTATATATATTTTTATGAATTTTTAAACTTTAACTTTGAGGTTTACACATTTGCTATTACTCTTAGGTAATTTTTGGAAAAAAGTCTATTCTTTCTTAAAGCCCTAAATCCTATCACAACTGTTGAGTATTATTTCTATTCTTTATAAAGCCAGAAATGTTTTTTAAAATACTTTCTTATATTACATAGGCTATAATCTTTTGTTTACATTTCTACAATGTTTCTATGATTACGTGAACCATTATTTGAAGTTTCATCATGAAAATAGTGTAATTTTGGTTTATATTTAATGCAATTCAAAATATATTTATTGACTGAGTCAGCCATGTGCACAAATATTTAAATAAAATATTATCCTTGTCTAGCTAGACAAATTATCATATGTCAATTAATTATAAAATGTAGAAGACTATGAGAAAGAAATAATATTATTGCAACAGATTGGAGAAAAAAATTACTTGATTTGGGTCTATTGGAAAAACCTTCAAAGACAAGTTGGACTTTAAAGATTAGTAGGATTTTAAAAGGCAGAGAAGTGGAGACATGATGGGCATTCTGGTTAGAGTGATGAGCATGAACAAAGACCCGGAGTCAGAGAATCTTAAGTGGTCTGTTGTGCCTATATAAGAGATAGAGGATGGGGAATGGAAAATGACTGGAGATGAGGATCGAAAGTGGTTTAGAATTTTTAAGGAATTTGTGCTTGTTTTTTGATATCAGGAAACAATGGAAGATTTTGAATAAGGTGCCTACATTATCAGAAAGCATAATTTGCAAATATATTCCTGTAGACTGGGTGAATTATGGATTGAGTTGGGGGCACACTGGGGTTTGAAGATAGGGAGATCTAAAGTAAGATGACTTCAATAGACATAGTAAACCTGATTTAAAGTAGTGTCAGGAGAAAAGGAAAAGGAGGGAGAAATTTGAGTTATTTATATGTCAGAACCTGCAAGCTTTATAAATCAATTATAAGCCTGTGAAATATAAGAAAATGGAGCGGTTAAATTCTGATATTGTAAAACTTGATTTATTAAGTAGATATCCTCAGTTGAAGCTGGGATTACATGAGATTACAAGAAGAGGAGTAGCTGAAGTATTATATTAAGTCCCAAAGGGGGATTAAAGAATTATGTTAGAAATTAGAAAGAACTTTAGAGATTATGAAGTCTTGTACCAGAGTAAGAACAAGGTCAAATGAGCAGGGATCTAGGCTTCTCATTCTCTTTAGCTACCATCATCTGATTTTGTTGAATTCTTATGTATTGATTAATTTTGATTGAAAAAAAGTGGTCTTCTACTAGAAAAAAAGAAAGAGAAAAAAGAAAAAAAGTCATTGCTTGAGCCTTTTCATTTCACAAAGATAGCACCGATGTCCAAATAGTCAAAGTGTATTGTTCAGGTCTCACAGTTAATATGTGTTTTCCTGATTATCTACATGACACTCAAGCACTATGTGGAGAGTCCAGGAAGAAGCTGGAAATGTATTGTGCAACCCAAAGAAAAATCAAGACTAAGTTATTATTATGTTTCAGTAAACAATGGATAGTGTTCATTTACACTATGAAAACAAATTGTGTTATCCAGAAAGAATAAGTTGGAATATAAGAAAGTCAGGAAATGAACCTTGGAAAAACTGCCTCTCTACAGAGACAGGAAATCCAGTTAATGAAATGGATAAAGAAGTAGTCATATAGGTGGGAGACCAGGCCATATGTGTAAATGTTAGAGCCTGAGATTTGAATTAAGAAAGCTTTTAATTTGAAACTCAGTTCTGCTATTTGCTGTATGGCTTTGGCAAACACTCACAGCCTCAGTTTCTCTATCTGTGGGAATGTGGGAATACTAGAACCTATCTCAAAGAGTTGTTGTGAAAAATAAATGAGGTGATGTAAACAAAGCTTTTAATGGAGGATTTGGCATGTGGTTTAATGTTAAATAAATACTATGCGTAATAACCAGAGAGAATAATGTTTCAGAAACCAAGAGAGAATATTAGGAAATAGAGTTTCGAAAATCAATGTCTAATACCATAGATAAGTGGAGTATGATGAATATTAAGAGCAGACTAGGATTTTTAGGTTTTTACAGATAATATTCATAGGATTGCTTCAAGAGAATGGCAGGAGCAGAAATCAAATTACAGTAAGCTTAAAGCATGAAAACGAAGTGAGAAAGACGTGGCGAGTATTATAGATATATCTTTTAAGATGGTCTATATTGAAAAGAAAATGCAGAGGCTTGGGAGGAAGGCAAAGTTAGCAAGGGTTTTATTTTTAGGATTAAGAACAGTTGAGGAAGGAAAGGCAGGAGAAAACAATGAATCAAGCAAGGTCCTGTGGGAAGCAGGATAACAAATAGAGGCATTTCTTCTTTTGGTGCAGAAGGACAAGTGAAGATATATTTACTCTGTATTTGCAGGTAGAATTATGGAAGTTAACAGAGTTCAAGGTTCATTTCCGTTGTTTACTGAAGCATACTGATAACCTGCCAGAATTAATTATTTTGTTATTAAAGGCTTTAAGAAAGCAGAAAATTTCAAATTAGTACTGTAGAAAGAAGAGAATCAACTACAGATGGGTAAAAGGTCAGTGTGGTGTTGTAATCGCTTATGGTAGACGTGAGGTAGGCAATGTAGCAGTGCCAATAGCATGTAATACGTGTATAATAAACACAGTAAATGGAAAAATGTATGGCACCCAATAAATTTAATAAATACATTCAATAGTCAAGTAAAAATAACTTGAATCAGTTTTTCCTTATTAAGTGAATTATTAGAACACCCTTATAGTTTTTTAAATTATTAACAAGTGAAGGAGAAATAATTACTGTATAAAATCTGCTAAATATTAGAAATTGCCTCTTTTATTACTTTCTTCTTAAAATCTCTGGCTATTTTGTTATTTTTCTCTTCTCATCTTTTCTCTATAAAGAAAAGTAAAGCTCTTCATTGTTTAACAATTTCTAGGTGGTGCTGAAGGTGTTTGAGTAATAATTGATAAGATTCTTATTTTGAAATATGATTTTTTAAATTCTTAGTTATATTTCTGTTGCATTTTATTTTAGAATATCTAGAACATTTTTACCTTTAGCACTACCGTATTACAGTAGACATTGGGAGGAGGGGCAAGCTTTCCAGTAAAAGTTTTCATTTGCTTTGCTTACTATCTGCCTATTTTTTAATCTCACTTTTAAAATTGAACTTTACTCTTTTCCCTTCCTTCCTGAGTCTTATTTCTATTCTTGTTTCTGCCATGCTTGCAGTCATTTTCTTACTCTACCTCGCTCCAGATACAGTCAGACCATTGAGCATCATCACAGGGATGGCAGGTATATTTTTCTTACAATTGAGTCTGTTTGTAGAATTGCATGTGTCTGTCTATTGATATGATATAATTCACTTTTATTTCTGTTTTTATGTATACATATATGGTTTGTAGTGAAATATAGAAATATTACCTTTATAAAATAGCGTGAAATAAGACATGTATAAACTTATTGTAGTAAGGCATCAAAAATACAGCTTCTCTTTGGTCAATTTTTTTTAAGATGTGAAGAAGTACAGTTCAGGATTATGTATACAGTGGTTATTGTACAAGTAAAGTTTGGGCCCCCATTTGGTCCTCACTTCACCTGGACTTGAGATCAGGTACCCTTATTGATGTTGTGTTGTCGTCCCCTACCCACCCCCACCCCCCACAACTTTGGTAAGTTAAGATAACCTCTTTGATTATCCTAAAAGTATAGTTTCTTAGGAATTATGGTTAACTCTCTATTATCTAGAAAGATAGAATTTCAATAGTCTTTTTAAATTAACTGCAATTGACTGCCCATCCCTCACAGAGTTCGTAATTAGGTGTTTAGATGACACATGTCTTTACAACTGTCTTTCGTACTACCTCCCTCCTCCGGAGTAGAGGAGTCTGTCCTTGAAGTGTTTAGGTTGAACTGATTTGTTTGTGTTTACCTTGTCAAAGGTGGCTGTGATCTACTCTTTTCTGATAGTAGAGAATCCTAATCTGTGGAGAATCCTGAGTCCCTGAGAAAATACTTGTTCCTACCACAATTTCTTTTCCCAAAGTGGAATTCATAAAGAGTACAGCTACAATACCTTAAATAAATATAATTTATACTGGAAGGAAATACCAATTACCTGAAATTTAACAGAAAGAGATTAACTAGAAAGAAGGTAAAGAAGGACTCTGCAGTTAGAAAAGTTCTATGGGGATTAGAGCCAGTTCAATGACAACATTAGAGATCCTTGAGGCAGAATGATAATATGATGATGGGTTCAGCTGGTATAGATTAGGAATTACATGCCATACTTAGTCACCCTATTATTTCAAAGTGATTTGGAGTTATGTATGGCCTCCTTTATCCTTATTAAATTAGTTAGTTGGAGGTTGATAATAAAAGAGTTCAGAAGAAATGATTAAAACCTAATGAGTAATCTCCTAAAGACTGAATTTGTGTGGGTAAATGAAAAAGGACACATAAGAGATAACAACAACAATAAATTCCTAATAATTCAAGTTTTGTAGTGTCCTTCAGTTAATGCTATTGAAATGTATCTTCACATTTAATGATATGATAATGCTTATTGCTATATTTAATTTTCTTCTGCCTTTTTCACTCTTTTTTATTTTGCTTTAATACTAAATAATTTTCTTTTGTTGGTTTTTTCTTTATTTTTACTTTTGCTGTTTGTTACATTCTGATTATTTTTTGATTGCAATGATTATATATTTACCTTCAAAAATATGAAAAAGTTATATAGCTATATCTTGATAATTGACTTATGCAGATGAGGGCAACACTGGAAGAGGATGCCCAGTTGAAGTAAATGTTATTTAAATCAGGACTATGCAGAACCATACTGCAAAAAGGTTGACGTTATAAGGAATTTTGTTAATAATGGAATGAGGATTCTTGAAAATGCAGCAGAGAATTAGAGGAAATAAAGAATGGCACAGAAGAGAGTGGAGAAGGTAAAGAATTTAGAGAGAAAAAGATATAAGGGGCAGTGGGGCTTGCCTTTAACTTAATAGCCAAGAATTACAGAGGTAATATACTTGAAGAGAAGTGATTGAATTTAAATATTCTAAGTTTATCTCAGTTGTTTTGGTGCCAGAACTGACTGAGGGTCCCGGGAAGGATTTGACCTGGGTCTTCTGAGGACTGGTATGGAGTTGAAGAGAGGCAATGATGGTCATATCTAGAGCTATTTTGGGACCATAATTAGAACCCTTGTTAAATAAAAGAGTCTGACAAAGCTAGTGGAGTCGTGATAAAGGATAAGATTCCTGTGTGGAACATAGACTGTTGTCTTGTGGATGCCCTATCCTGGATGGTTGGCATTAGTCAGTGTGAACTAAGCCAAGTAAGCCACACAGTCCTAGACCCTCCTTTTTTTAAACCTTAATTTCCCTGCATCACCAGTCTTCTTCCTATAAACAACTATTTTGTTCTTCATCCAAACTAATTTCTATTTGTGTTTCCGACTCTAACCTTGATTTCTCTGGAATTTTCCTGCATTTGTTATTTCTTGTTTCTGTTATATCTTAGTCTCTCTTTCTTTACTGATTTTATTTCTCCACAAATTATTGTTGAAGTATCCCTAATAATGCTTTCCATTCTTCCACTCCATTAAGCTACTTTCTGTATGGTCCATTTCTCTCTTTCTCTTTCTCTCTGCCTTTCTCTCCTTATTTTACTCAGGTCAAAGTTCTTGAGTATGTATCTTTACATAAGTTTCCTCCACTCTTTCATCAGCTCTTAAGCCTTAAGTTCCACTGTTTGATCTCTGCTTCCCTTACTTTATTGACATGATTTTCTCTAAGTTTATTATTTGCCAAATCACTTATACATAATTATTTTTGCTGTTTCTTGGTATCTTTTAATCATGTCTGTTTTTGGAGTGGGGGGAGTTTCTCTAATGCAGGGCTATCCTGGTTCTCATTCTACCCTTTGGCTGCTCTTCCTTCTCCTGCACTTCTTTCCCATTTCTCAAGTCCTCTCTTTTTGGGCCATTTGTTTTATGTTACTCTATGTTTTGACCAAAACTTCTAGTGCCTGGCATATAATTTGAACTCAATAAGCATGTATTGGAAGAATGAATTAGTCAATGACTATTAAAATATTAATACTAAACAGTGACTTCTCAAACTGTATTTCTAACACACATTCCTCCTTTGCAGGTCAGATTTCTCTGTCTGGTTGACATCTGCACAAGAATATTTCTCTAGCATCTCATAAATTTATGTCCAAACCTGAATTCCCTATCTTTTGCCCAAATAATTCTTCTCTTTCTGTTCATAAATCATCATTTCATTTCTGAGGCTGGAAATTTAAAATGTTTTTTGGAAATTTAGTTCCACATTTAATTCATATAGTGATTTCTCAAGCATTATTGACGGAAAAAAATAAACTTACTGCCAAGAATTAACAATTCAGTGAATCTCACTATATCACCCAGGCTGGAGTGTAGTGAGATAATCATAGCTCACTGCAGTCTCGAACCCCTGGACTCAAGTGATTCTCCCACCTTAGTCTCCCAAGTAGATGAGCCACCACATCCTGGCTAATTTTTATTATTATTATTATTTGTAGAAACAGGATCTAACCATGCAAGTATGGTCTTGAACTCCTGGCCCTGAGTGGTCCTCTCTTCTAGACCTCCCAAAGTGTTAGGGTTACGGGCATGAGTCACCACTCCCAGCCTGACTCTTTCTTTTCGTCCATTATCTGTCTGCTGAAATCTTCCCAAAGATGTTGTCCATCTTTCCTACTACAGTCTCTAACATATCAAGGACACATATTTTAAATTCCCCTGTTTGTTTTTCTAACATTTATGCCATCTCTCTGAATCTGCCTTTGTTGATTGCTTTGTCTCTTGAAAGCAGACTAGCTTTTTTGCATGTCACTCTTAGCGACTGAGGCAGATAGTGTTTATGCCTGAATATGAGCACAGCTTTTGCTCTGTTAGTGTGTGGTGGTGGGGGGGTTGGAGTGGTAGGAGTTAATCACCCTTACAACTGCTGCCTCTGAGTTATGAGATTTAGACTGGCATTATGAATTGACAGCTAAGGGCAGCAGGCAGCAAAACAAAAAGAAGGTTGGTGAATTGTTCAAAGTTGATCAGTGAAACTGTTGAATATAGCACTCAACATTCTAGTGTGAGGACCCTACCTCATCACATATACTCATGTAATATAATAGCAATTCATAATTCTATCCTTTAGAGATACATCTTTAAAATGTTTGCTATTTTATGTAATATTCGAGGATGTGGGAAGGAATAGTGTAGGGCCAATAACTTGGTGGAATAACTTGAATCTCTTACAATTGACAAATCATTTTAACCTCTAACATTTACTAAAGCTGGAAACTATTTCATAAAATAAGAATTTTATAGACAGGAGGTGGTAATTATATTTACTCCCAGGATTTTTTTAAATTTATATTTTAAAGATATATTAATTTGTTACATGGTAAATATGCTGGATAAATAATCCTACCTGTTTTGTTACTGTAATTTTTGAAATAAAAAATAGCAATGAAAATTACAAATATTTGATATAATACCGAAACTATCCTCAAGATATTTACATCGTATATGTTTATGTATGTGTATGTTAATGATACATATCTTTATTGTTCAGTATTGTATTTGTCCCCAATTTTCTTAAGGAAATTAGGACATTTGATCTTAAAAAAAATACTTCTGTAGATGTGAGAACACTTTACCTCTCTGTTTAATGACAAAATAGGCTTGAGGGTATAGTAATGTTTTTTCCTGCCTTAATGGTGTCTTGCTTGCTCTCATTAACATATGTATTTTTATCATTTTCACATTTTAGATTGTTATTAACTTGACTATGCTATTGTTATTTTTGAATAAGTTTATTTTTAACTAATGAAGATTCTTTACATCTAACTTAACAGAAATAGTCTATAGAGAAATGCTATCATGCCCAAGGAAAAATTAACCTATCATCCTCCAAAATAATAAAATATTTCTATTAGTGTAAAATACTTATTTACCACAATTTTCATGGTGAATATTTTGTATCTTGTAATTCTCTTAATATTAGAAGCAATGCTAAAATACTAGAGTTTTTAAAAAGTTAATCTTTTACATTATGATGAACATGAAAATTATAATTTTAAAGTTGTCATACAATTACTTTAAATTATTTGCTATGTCAAACAAATACATATATAAGTTAATTACCCTGGAATATCTCTTTTTAAAATGTTTCCAAGTATATTTTACTACGTATTTATACTTCTATTATGCAGTTAATTCCAAGAAAATCTTCTAGACATTCAGGGTATTTTAACAAAAGTATAATGCTTCTGCTGTTAATCAGCTTCTTATATCGCACAATATGGATATAGGGAAGCTATTTCTTGCCACAAACCTGAAACTACACTTTCCCTTCAGAGATATATTCACATTTTTTTAAATTTAGGATTTCCGCTTTATAAAGGAGAAGAATAATTTCTAATTTTTTTCCTAATTTAGTGTTTTTAAAATTCCTAAGTCGTTTTACTTTTGACAAGTTTATTTTTCAACAAAACCTATTAAATTTACTTGTGACATTTTTACAATATAAACATGAAATAAGTGTGTCTGAGTTCATATAGACTGAGTACCAAACTACATAATATGACTATTTTCATTTATTTCTGAATATTACTTTTAAATATTGTATTGTGGTGGTGGTGGTTGTTTCTAAATTTGTTTTGTATTCATCATATTCTTCTATCATATCCATAGGGATGCTCTACATTGAGTTTACTTTGATTTGGAGTTGTATCACTGTGATGAGTTGGATGGATACATAGATGTAGTAAGGTATAGAAAAGAATGCCCATGATCTATGCTTTCCTGGTCCAGATCCCTTGTCCCTTCGTTAAATTAAGGACCCTGAAGTAAGTAGGAAAAGTAATAAAATAAATTTAGGAAGTTGCATCAGATACTTGGACATTTTGAAAATCTTTCATGAACAACTATATTGACTGGAAAAATGATTCAAAACTGACACCTTCACTAGATAATTATAAAATTATTTTTTCCTTAGCAATGACTGAAAACAAATAATAACATCATATTCTTTTAATTTGTTTTTGCTTTTTAATGAGTAAACATTGACATTTAAATTTGAAGGCCTTAAGCCGGGCTCAGTGGCTCAGCCTGTAATCCCGCGCCTTTGGGAGGCTGAGGTGTGAGGATTGCCTGAGCCCGCGGGTTCGAGACCCGCCTGGGCAGTGAGGCCTCATCTCTACAATAAATCAAAAAATCAGCCGGGCGTGGTAGCGCATGCCTATAATTCTGGCTACTTGGAAGGCTGAGGCGGAAGATTCGCCGGAGCCCAGCAGGTCGAGGCTGCGGTGGCCGGGGCGGCCACTGCACTCCAGTCTGAGCGACAGAGTGAGACTCCAACTCAAAAAAAAAAAAAAAAAGAAATTTGAAGGCCTTCTAAGTTGTTTTCTTTATTATTGTGGCCTATTATCAGTTTATCATCATCTCAAACTCCATGGGTTGCTAACAATAGTGACTGTCAATCAGCATTAGGTCAGTGGAGGGGCAGTTAAACAATATCCTCTGCAAATACTTGCAGGTTGGAATAGCAGCTACCAGATGATGCAGAACAGTAGTCTATGTCAATTTAGGTAAATGACATAAAACATCTGAGCTATTTTAAACATAGATTAGAAAATATAAACTATTAAAAAAAGATGAAATGATGATAGTTGTTAAATTCCTTTTTGAAAGATCTATCAAATTATTACCTAAGCAAGATTTAAATTTTCAAGCAAGGGGCTCCCTAACCTTTTGTGGCTTACCCTTTGACAATCTGATCAAACCATGGCCATTCTTTTTTGAATAATTCATATGCATAAATGAAAATAAGATAAATCAGTAGGATTACAAAGGAAACTAACTAATATTGAAATAAAGACCCCCAAGTAGGCACTAAAATATGTTAAGCCTTGTAAGTGGTTGTCTGTTGTTTCCCAATTCTTCGTTGCTACTATTCAAAATTAATTATTTATAAATTCTTATCTTGAATTTCACTCAAAATTTAGGTAGAGGTTTGCAAGTTTTATATCTCAGTCCTTTTAACAGACCTACTATGAGACTGAAAAATTTAGGTATTTCTACTTCGTATGTTTTTAACAATAACATTGGGTCTTAACTAATCAAGCTGTCTTACCCAAAAGCAGGAGCCTTTGTTGACCTTCTCTATGTGTTATCAAAGTTTACGATATGGTCGATTTCTGTTCCCCTTAACTGTGGCAGGACATTTTGGGAAATTTCTACTTTCTCCTATAGTTGTTTTCAAGTTTCATTTATTAACCTATTTTCATTTCACACCATGGCAATTAAATACTTGATATTTTTATGGATATAAAAATATAAATAAAATTTAAAAGATGAGTTAATTTTCTTTTCTTTCTTTTCATTTTATTTTAAAGATGTGGGGATACAAGTCAGGATTAGGTACATAAATGGTCTACGTCCAGGGGAATTTGAGCCTCTCACTGGTCCTCACTTTCCCTGGTTTAGGATAAGGTACTCTTAGTGATGTTATGTGCACCCCCCGCCCCCCATGGCAGCATCCCACTACTTCCGATCCTTCTCTTTTAGTATTGTGATAAATGTTCAGGACCCACTTATGAGTGAGATCATGTGGTATTCAGTTCTTTGTTTCTGTGATAGATCATTGAGTATGATAATTTTCAAACAATTTTTTCACTAAAGAGATTTTTTTTAAATCAGAGATGTTTTCTAAGTAACGACCTCTTTGTTTTACAAATAGTAGTCCCCTTTTGAGGACATAGCAACACGTTTGAAATAATTCTCTAGATTTCACCCACAATTACATATTTCAATTATTACAAATAATTTTTTACTTCACGAAGATGTGAAATGGTATATCCTAACATTTGTTTCCCTTTTCACTTGGAAAAATTATTTAACAGGGTCAGAATTAATGAAATTTTGGATACATAAGTGAAATATTAGCCTAACATTCTATTGGGATAGTCATTGACATTTCACGAAGTTTTGTTACCACATATTATTTAATGAGATAAGTTTATCATTAACTTAAGATGATAAGAAATCTTTGAAATAAATACAAAGATTGATACTCTTAAAAACAGATGTTAAGGAATTTAAGAAATATATATATATATGCATGTATGCACACAGAGAGATATACATCCTTTTTTTCCCCAGTTATCTATTGTGTGAAGATATATAAAAAATAGTAGACTAAAAACGTTTAGCAAACTATTGAACATATTTATTTCTTAGGAAAAGTGTTCTCTTTAAAATAGTTCTTCAGAAACAAAAGTAGAACTATTATTTTTACACTGTGAGGTTGCCTTTTCATTTCTCTCTTTGACTAGTAATTGAATATTTTATATGTATCTACATTTCATCTTAATTATTTTGACATTCTGGATACACTTACATAAAAATATCAAACTTGGAAAATTAATCTATTATAGTACATAGACTTAAAAATATTTTAAAATGCTTTGACTTATATGTTACTCTCTGATTTTAAAATGTAAAATAATCACTAGATTTGATGTCAAATAAATCGAATATTTACTAAGTTCATTTAATCTAATGTCTACTGATCCAAAATTGTTTGCCATAAAATTCATGACATTTGGGAAGTTATGTCCTTTTTTTCTTATTTTTCTCTAATTTCTACACTTTGTCATTATCAAAAATAAAGTTGAGAGAATTTACAGGTAAAGTAGAAGTCCTTGATACATAGTCTTGAGGGAGACTAATGCTTGCTTGACGGTAATACATGAGCATTTCCTTTTTTGTAGTTAAAACTGGGTGGGGAGATAGTAATTCAACTTGAAGTATACTCTGTGGCATATGTATTACTTCTCATTTCTAGAGCTAAAGCCAGCATTTACTGGGTTGTCTCACAAGTAGTGGGATGGGTGTTAGAAAACTTGTATTGTTTACGCTAGGCATAAAAGCATTATGCTAGCTCCAGGGATAGAAAAATCAATAATGATAGGTTACTTAAATTTAAGTATACTTCCCTTAACAAGAGTTAAGTGTTGGTATTAGGTATGCTTGTGGTCAAAGGGATCACATTGTTTCAGAATTATTTCACTCAATTAATACTCATTCTGAATTATTTTGGTTGGCAAAGCTAACGTGCTGAGATGGATGACTGATTAACCAGTTTTTTACAGAGTGATTTTTCTTATTGGTCATGTTTAAATATGGCTACAGACTTCAAAGTCACCCTATTTTCTTATAACCTCATTTTTATTCTTCTGTTTGAATGTTCAGATGTTTAGTGTATGCTGAAAGGCTTTGTATATCATAATTACTAATAAACAACCTCAGGGGCTAGAGAACCGATGCTTATATGATTTTTTTCACTCTTTTGAAGATGTTAGGAAAAGTCATTGAATTATTTTAAAATAGAATACTTCACATATTTCACATGTTCCATTTAGCAGGTAGTTTTGTTTGTTGTTGATTATAACTGAGCAACTCCTATTATCCTTGTTGGAAATTACTATTAAAGGCAGATTTTGGTTCCTTAGATATTCTCAAGAAGTTTACTAGGAAATTGCTCACAGTATGTTGGGGAAAAGAAAATTTTTTACATACTCAATAATTTTAGACAATTTTTTCAAAATCATTTTGATGCATCATAACCAAATAGCAGAAGGGCACTAAAGATCAACTGAGCTGCTTTTTGACTAACGTTTCAGGGATTGTGAAGCAGCAGATAGACAGCCATATCACAGATCCAGATCAACAGAACAACGGCCTCTCCTTGAGCGGACCACCACCCGCTCCCGATCCACTGAACGTCCTGATACAAACCTCATGAGGTCGATGCCTTCATTAATGACTGGAAGATCTGCCCCTCCCTCACCTGCCTTATCGAGGTGAAAGATAAATCAATCAGACTAACTTCCCCTTTGCCCCACTAGCACACCATTTTATTTTCCCAGCAACTAAATGGTCTCTTCTGTCATCTTTGGCTGATCACTAGTAACAATCGATACTAACCTTTTCGATGTAAACACACTATTTATATTCAATGGATATAATAGTGTGTGGCTACCATTGTAATTTGTTTATTAACTGTCCTGACTACATTTGTTTTGTGATTTCTCATTAATCAGGCGTCCTGGTAAATCCCCTCATAACTATCATGTTCTTCTACAGAATGAGAAATTATTTGTTGTCCATTAAACATCACCCTTCGAACAATCATCATAATGACAATAAATAAAACTAGACTTTTAGTTTCTTTTTATTAAGACATATTAATATTAATATGTCTTAATAAAAAGATATTACATGTGTTAACCAGTATTTTTCTTAGCTGAATTTTGAATTGTTCAGGGTTTTATTTGCAGTTTTAGAACATATTTTCTAATAAAAGGATATTTAATATAAGCCTGAGTAAAAATCTCTTTGGATCAAGGGAGGAAAGTTAGTATTAAGAGTTTGAAATCTGATAGAAAGAAATGGAAAGTATTACCTTTTATTTTTGAGCTGCAAAATTATCTTGCTTTCATGTAGATAGAATACTAATTTACATTAGTAATTCCATGGATTTTACTGTAGGGTTTTGTGTGCATGTGTGTGTATGTATGCATATTACACAAAAATATAAACATCTTTTGCTATTCCAATAATCATTCAAATATCCATATTTTGTCCTCTTTTCCTAACCTTTTAATCAGCAGCTAAACTTCTTTTAAAATTGCACTCATACAGCTATCATAAGAACCAAATGTATCAAGAGTATTTTACTAACTATACTGAAAATGGATATTCTTGGTGTATCTTGTAGGTCTCATCCTCGTACTGGGTCTGTTCAGACAAGCCCATCAAGTACTCCAGTGGCAGGACGAAGGGGCCGACAGCTTCCACAGCTTCCACCAAAGGGAACGCTGGAGAGAAGTAAGTTTTATTTCTAATTATGTCATATAGGAAATACACATGGAAGCTTAGGTGAATCCAGATTTTTCTTACTACCTTTATGTTAGATTTCTTATTTTATTAATAGTATGTCTTTACTGAATTTGATAATAAGTATATTTATAAATATTATATATTTTGCATGTAAAAGTTGTAATATTTGAAGGTAAAATAAGCTACCTTTATTGCTATGGCATATTATTCAAATTTGAGTAAATGCATTTTTAGAAGCAAAAGTACATTTTTAAAAGCAAAAGCTCTTAAATAAGTGGTTGGATGATATGTATTTGCTACAACTAAGTTTATGTAATTGTTGATAGTTACATAAAGTTTATTAGTAACTAGCCAAATCAATTTTCACACACTGCAAAGGACTACTGGTTAGCTGATGCACAACAATGGTGATCCTTCTCAAAACTGGAGAACAAGAAAAAGGTAATCATGAATATAAAACGAAAGATGCATGTTGTACTGATGTTTTTAATAATTTTAAATTTTTGCATAAGAAGCACTATTTGCTGACACACACATGAACATAGTTCCCAAACATATATAAATTCTTGGATAAAAGACCTCCAAAAGCATGGATAACAGAATATACTAATTTTGACATCATTTAAAAATTCCCTTTATTTAGTTAACTGGATGTGCTTTGCAAATATGCATATATAATTCACCATTTAACTTTTCTCTAATAGATGATACATTCTGTGCCTTTGGAAATTTCTGTTGTTTTTAACCACTGTGCTTTGGTTCCCTTTTTGTTTTGTTTTGTTTGTTTTATTTTGTTTCCCCTAGACAATGGAGTCAAGGAGATAGAACCTTATGAAGGTCTGTACATAAAGGAGGGTTTGTTTTGTGCTGACAGCCTTTTTAGGGGGCTATGTAAGCAAAAATAAACCCAACTGCAATTGATAGCCCTTCATTGTATCGGCTTTTATATACAGTAGAATTATTTTGTTTTGTGATATCTGATAAAGTATTCAACTTTTATTTTGCTTGGAAATTATACCAAGGAATTAAATTTCTTTGATTCATTAACTAAGAATGCAAAGAGTTTAGCTTCTTTTAAATTATCAGATAAAATTTGCTCTTAAAAAAAACTTAATATGTCTTTTAGACAGAATTGTAGAATTTGAGAAAGACTTTAACCAAAAATATCAATTGCAGTCTGTGTTTATGTCATTGAGGGTGTACACATAGTCTAGTTATATTTATCATCATATATTTCATTTGGTATTTATGATGATCTTTTAATTATTAAATTTGACTTTCTAGAGTAGAAAGTTGTTGAATTAGACAGTGATTGTGGTTTGTATTTTCTACATCATTTTTCATGTTGTAGCAAGACTGGTTATATCAGAGTTAAATATGATATGGTTTTATTATCAAACACTATATCTGACTCAAAAGAAAATATTGGGTTGTAATATATGGAGTACCATACATTTACTAGGACAATAAAAAAATTCTTTGCTAGCTATGGAATTCTGAAATTGACTTTGTAACTTTCAAAAAAAAAAAAAAAAATTGTTGACTGTTTTACTTACTGATGAATCTCCAGCACATAGAATAATGCCTGGCACATTGTTTGGCCCTCAATAAATATTTGTTGAATGAATGCATGACATATTTACTGAAAAGCTACCTCAAATAATATATAAAACACCACCAAAATAATATTGTTAGTCTATATATGTTTATACTAAAATTTATGTTTCTATGACTTCTTTGTAACAAATTTGTAAGGTCATTGCATTTGAACAGCAATACCTTATGTAAATTGTTGGGATAAGTTGTGTTCTTGATAGTTGTAACTGAAGGATTATCAACTTCTGTTTTGTGGTTCCTTCTATTTATATATACCATGATTTTAGACACTCAGTGCTGTTGTAACTAGTGGCCTATTATGCTCCTGATAAAAAGATTTTAGCAGCATTTTTATAGTTCTCAGTTATTTGCATAAGATTGAGTTTATATAATTTTAAATTATTTTCCATAATGAAAGTTTAGTAGTATTTGTAGAATTTTTGTCTCTCCAGGATTTTTAAAGGTAGAATTTCAACAGCATTAATTGACATAAGTCAGAAACCATAGTTTATATCACAATTTTTTAAAAAAACTAAATTTTAATCTCTTTTATAGCAATAGCCTATTGAGATATGCTCTGTTCTTTGTAATAGTAAATATATCAGAAAACCAATCATCTTGCTGATATTAAAAGTCAAGGTTGATGAAGTTTCTAAGGGGTTTGTCAACAAAGATTCTGTTTACTATTCAGTTTTTTTCTCTATAAAATTCATTAAAACTGCTGTTGTCCTTTAAAGTCCCCATTTGTGATTTTTCTACTGTTTTTATTTCATAAAAAAGAAAAAAAGGAGCTAAAACCTCCCTTCTCCTTTTCAGTATGATATAAAAGTGTTTTTGTTTGTTTTTAAAATATGGATGATTAAGTGTTTTCATAAATGTTAATATGGAGACCTCAAAAGATATATGATTATGTAATTTTCTTTAGTTTTAAAGGTGATATGTAATATCTTCTTTAGAAGTATTCAACTTCTTAAAGGTAGAGTAACCCACAATAGACTATCAATTGGAAGTCTAAATCAAATTATGTTTAGATTATCTCTTGAAAAGTTGTCAGAAGTTGTAATTTCACGGCACTATTTTAGAATTAAAATATTGAAATATTTATTTTCTAATTCTCTTTTACTGCTAAAAACTGAACAAGTCCTAATGTAACTCTTTATGATTTTGGTTTATTATTTTATATTTCAGTCTGTTAATTAAGATAATTTAAAATTGTATATATTTTGATCCTGATTATGGTGCTGTTTCAGTCATTTCTCTTTGCTTAGGACCAGAGAAATAAAATAAGGGCAATACAGAAAGTACAATGTACTAAACAATTCTAAGGCATTATTATTATTTTTTTCCCTCTAGAGTTGATGCACTGCCATTGTGGAAAAAATAATATTTATAATATCTTTTTTTGTTTCTCTGGAAGAAAATTTGTATAACATTATTTTTAAAGTAGCATACCAAGTTTATTAATGAATAGATATTACATAAGCTACCTTGGCAACTTGTCAGAATATGTATTTATCCAGCTGGTTGAATATTTTCTTTAATCAAACTAGAATGATAGTGTCTTTAACCAAGATATACATCTATCCTTTATTCAGCTTTACATTAGTTCATTTATTTATTTAAATTATTTTGCCTGCTTTATCCAGTTATCCATATATTACAAATATATTAGAGTTCACAGTTTTTCTTTTTACAAATCAAAATCATCATAAAAGCAGACAGTGAGATAATTAGCAGTACATTTATTTGCTTTATTGTAACATGCCAGAAATTTGCTTACAACAATCTATTCGTCTCCTTATAATCACTCATATTATTATTGGAATTTTTGTTTCATTTAAGAGTAACAGATACACTTATCTGGTGTTATCTTTTTATTTACTTTTACTCTTGCAAATACAGAAGTTAATGAAGAAATTGGGCATGTGGAAGAGCAGGGGGGAGAAAAGCAGGGAGAAGAAGTCAAGGCAGGTCTGTCCGACCATGTGTCTAAAACAAATCAGTGCATGTCTTACAAGTGTGACGTTTCAACATCACGTAAGGTTTTAAGCTCCAAATTTATAAACGCATAAAAAAGAGTAGATTGCTTTCCAGCCCTAACTTTAAAATAAATTACCTGATTTCTTAAGTGAATAAATATTACATAAGCTATATAAGTGTTAAAATATTTAATTTACCCAACTGGTTGAATATTACCCTTAATGTTTAAATCAAACTAGAGTTAAAGAGAGTGCCCTTGACCAAGATATACATCTATTCTTTATTCAACTTTACATTTATTTAATTATCTACTCAAAAATGTTTGAGTACCTACTAGAAAACTGCATTTTATCAAGTGTCACTCTAAGGAAAGGCGTTTGAGGCTTTAACCCCTTCTCTCAAGAATTTTGAATCTAGTAGAGGTAAATTATAAGGAACTATAGAGCAGAATATAAATTCATTAAAATTTTTAGAAGCCTAGATCATTTCCCAATATATTTTTTCCTAAAATAAAACAACTATCAGTTCCTTTTCATCTGGCTCAGAAGTACTCTAACATTTACTGACAATCGTAATTTCCCTTCATTGAGTCCTCCTCTTAAATGGTTACAGACCCTTAAGGGACCTATTAGGTTACATATCATAATGTTTGCCATTTTTTTGTCAGTGTTGCTGAAAGTATTTTAAAACTTAAAATATTATATGATCTGTAAATATTTTACATAATTTTATCAAATTTTCAGTATCACTTTAAACTCACAATTGAAAATCTCATGTAAAACCATAAAGTTTCTTTAAGCTTTAATTTTCTTTGAACAGTGTGGAATATTTTAAATTTTATCTAGTGTTTACTGATCATCACTTTTTATTTATGAATAGTAGTGTGTCCTTTGTATGTTTTTCTCTTTTTACCATGATGTGAAAGTAAGCCACTATGTATATTGTCCATAAGATGTGTTTTCATGGATGCATTCTCTCAGTGGAGTTTGTAGTTTTTAAAACTGAAAACATATTAAGCTGCAATTGCTAATTATCAGTAATTTTTTAATATTATAAAGATGAAACATCTCATCAGATTGCATCTGATAATGGAAAGAAATGCAAGTTTAGTTGCATATTTATAGAGACATAACTTTTTGTTCTGAGTATCTAGTATTATAGCTACTGGAATGTCACATATCTTCCATTTTTCTGGAATGATATAGAAATAACATTGTTATGGAATGCTGTGAGAATCAATTTCATTCTCATTTAGCTGTCCAGTTGATGTCCATTCACCTATTCCTCTATGTCTCATATTAATCCATACAGATACTGAAACTTTTTACGCTATTGGTTTCCACAAAGTCATATTTTAGTATAGCATTAGTTTGGGGACTTCGACAATAATTTGTTTTGAATTTATTAAGATAAAGAAGCTTGTTTGTTGAACCAGTTTGTTGCCTGTGTTTTGTTCTCCAAATTAACTTAATTAGGCCAGGTGTGGTGACTAAAAAGACAGGGATATAGCTTGAGACCAGGGGTTGAAGAGCAGCCAGGGCAACATAATGAGACCCCAACACTACAAAAAAGTAAAATTAGTAAAAAGTTTTAAAGCAAAAAAATTAGCTAGATTTGGTGGGGCATGCCTATAGTTCCAGCTACTTACTTGGGAGGCTGAGGAGGGAAGGTTGCTTAAGTCCAGGATTCAAAGCTGCAGTGAGCTGTAATCTGCCTGGTGACAGGGCGATAACCTGTCTCTTAAAAAAAAAAAATACTTAGTAAATTGGACCAATTATTAAATTAGCATAAGGGTATGACTATAATATAAAAAGTATTCTTTATTTCTTGTTTGTTTTTATTACTTTTCCTATAAGATAGGAAGTATATACTTTACTCTCGTGTTCATTTATGTGGGGTGTTATGTTTGATGCATGGATTTGTTTCTCTACTGTGTGAGTTCATCTTTTTTGATGTGCTTGGTTTTTATTTGGGCTGTTAATGACCTTAAGTATTAATTGCTATTGTCTGTTTTCAATATTATAAAGACAATGAGGGAGAAACACCAACCACACCTAATAATGGGAAAAAAGGCAAGTCTAAAATGAAGTTAATAGTGCTTTCTATATATTAGACACTGTATTGACATTTGTAATGTGCTTGAATATGCTTTTATAAATTTAATAAGCAGAAATATATTAGTCCCAACTTAAGTTATCCATTAAAATGTTTGTTCTGCTTTTATTTATTTATGAATATGAAATTAGTCTTCAAAATACCTT